GGGGGGGGGGGGGGGGGGGGGGTAGGCCTTGAAAGTGGACACTGTAGCTTCTCAAAGTTGGGGTACCCTGAACACATCCAGAACACCCTTGGGATGGATACAGATGAGATGTAAACCACATCATGTAGGACGACCTCTGCAAGGTAGATCGAAGGGGTGTCTCGGGCGTGCTTTCTACCGCGTGTGGCCTCCCTGAGAAAATGTTGTATACGTATGGATACCTTGCATTATGGAGTCCTGGTAGAAACCAGATGATAGCCTCTTTAGAAGGTCGTGTTGTCTCATGGCTGTTGGTGAGTGCATGTGAGGTATGTTGTTGCGCGTTTTTTTTGGGTTGTCCACAGACAGCAGAATCCTATAGAGAAACCCTGGAATACACCTATAAGCGCTGTATGGAGAAAAATCCGTCTGGCTGTTAACAAACGCATGGCCTACACGCACCATGTGCGTGAGCGCTTCCACAAATCCACATAATCGTCGCGCATGTATGCTTGCAGGCAAATGTCCCCCTAGTGCTATAAACTGTTAGATACCCTCCCGCCGCATAATATCAAACACGTCGCAATATGTATCTTTGACGTCAATGTTTACGATTTGGGGTGGGAGGCAATCCCAACCCTGCACACCCGCTCTAAAAACGTGACATTTTGCGTCTCTGCTGTTGGGGGTCATGCTACACCATAAGCACGTTTTTTCGTGCGTTTGGGGCTCAAAAGCTGCATAATCTGAAACGCTAACCATGAAACTTTAAGTTCCATGCACACATGAAGGTTTCCAAGAATGAGGGGTCCCCAATCTGACAGGTACTAACATGGGTTATTGTATTTGGGGATGTACAAGCATGATAGAGGTTTGCATGACCCAGCCTCCTTCAGGGTCACTTGGGCCATCTGGGAGGTTTCCAAGGTAAGGGCCCCCGTAGCATGTCCCCGTGTAGCGTTAGGATCTTCATGATAGAAACCCCCACAAGAGGCCCCTATTTTTGCGAAACGCCTATATAACCCGTTTTAAAGGTACCCCTAATTTTGGGAACCCCCCCAAATAATCTTAGGATGTGGACTAGCACCCGCACTCTTGAGCCTGAAGCGCAACACTAAGCCCAGGACGGAAACGTGAACTCAACAGCAAAGGCTTCTGAACGTAAACCTTACATAAACTATAGTCTAAACTCCTTTTAGGTGGTTATTTAGGGGACTATATAGGGGAGTACTATAGCAGTTATTAAAGGATCTATTAGGAGTTTTGACAGCAGCTCATATAAGCCCACCCTTGTCCTTCGCTTCAGTGGGGATATCTGGGCTCTCGCCATCCCCACTCTCGCTCTCGTCGTCCCAGTTGACATCCGGGCCGCCAAAAGGGGCCTCATCTGAGCCATGCGGTTTAGGGTTTAGGGGATTCCTAGTATTTTGCTATGCCCTATAGACCCCCCCCCCTTTGAGGAGTTTATAGACTATGGCTCATCTAGTGCTTGCACTTGCACCCCTAGAACCTAGGCAGGGATGATACGAAACACGCATGTAATTGCAATTGCAAAATGCTATAGAATATTGCCTTGTCAGAACTTTGTTTTCCTCACCCAACCACAATATAGTCTGAGTTTAGATTTTCTTTTCCAATTACTTATCCGTTGGATCCTCCGTGAATTCCCCTACCCACAACCGACAACCTTAAATCCTATAAATCCTATTCCCTAAACCTTTCATCCTAAACCTTTCACCCTAAACCTTAAACCCGAAACCCTAAACCCTCAACCCTAAACCTCAAACCCTAAACCCTAAACCCTCAACCTTAACCCTCAAACCCTAAACCCTAAACCTCGCACCATGGTGAAGAAACCATGCAAGAGTGTAAGCTCCCGCCCTTGCTTTCATGTTTCAAGGTCCCGTCAATAACAGGTTCCCCCCAAATAATCTGGGTTGCTGTTAAGGAACTCAAATTAAGTTACTATATTGGGGAACCCTATTATTTACCATATATACCCATTATGGTAACTTAATTTAAGTTCCTTGACAGCAACCCAGTACTAACCAGTATAATTCCATTATAGTCCCAGCAATAACAAGTTCCCCCAAATACTACGCGGTTTAGGGCTTTTAGGGCTTAGGGACTAACCCAATCTAGTTCCATTATAATCCCAGTTTCCATGTCATTTCCCATTTTCTGTTGCTTTTGATTCTCAATTATTTGAGGCACAGGGGGGAAATGAAGTACTTGGAGAGTTCATGACTAAGCAAAAGGGTGTCTGGGGTGCTTTGAGGAACTTTATGCATATGGCACCCTGAACCCTAAACCCTAGAGCTTCAGGGGGTAGTTTTCTTGACAGCTTGGGATTCAGGCACCGGAAACCCTGAAGGTCTAAACCCCCTTCAATGTGGTCTGACTCCATGTCTAAGGTTCAGGGACTTGCCCAAAATCTGAAAGTCAGATGTGAGGGTAAGATTTGACCTTGACCTTCCTTCCTTTGGTTGCCCTACTTGTTTACAGAGGTCCGACATTATGTGCCAAGGGATGACCATGAATGGGGGACTGGGTGCTGCACTGCGGGCAGAAGGAATTAAATGAAATTAGGAGACCACCCCAACCTGGATCCACAAAGCGTGTAGAACTATTGCCTTTTTATTGGTTTTGGACCATGATTTTACATACTTTTGGGGTCCAGGTAAGACTAGATCACAGACCAGAAGCCAGCAAGGCTGGGTCTCGAAAGCCCAACCCTGAATTTGTTGACCTCAACAGTTTAAATTCTAAGAGCGTTTGAGGGTAGAGGTATGGTATTCGTTGCAGGTATATCAGGGCCTCTAGAGCCTATGAACCCGAAACCGCCTCGAATGCCGTATCTGCAGCACTTGCCCCACTTGAAGGGAGCGCAGCAAGCTTTTCCTGGGTTGCTGTTAAG